GCACCCCCCCCCCTGAACGCCATCGACCCAATCGGTCAATTAATTCCTGAGATTTAGCAATTTTCAAAAATCATCACATTGAAATTTGAATTATTTTGATTCGGTTGGGAGCGAAATCCTCCCATCCCCTCCCCCCCAAAAACGTGAAAATGTTGGTGAAAAACGAGTTTTTTTAGAATATCTTGGAGATTAATCTTAGAAGCAAAATTTTCATAAGATCATTTTATAGGTTCTTTACAGCTCTACAAAAAAGGTTCTAACAAAAATGTACTCGCGTTATCGAGAAAAATTGGCGATGGAAATATTCCTCTCGAAAAAAAAGAATAAGTACAAAAAAAGGGAATTGGTCGGGGAGTTATTGGTTCGACCCGTAATGGGTCACACCCACTCGAAAGCACCCGCAATGGGAGCGAGCGAAGCGAGCGACTAACAACCCAGACCAATTTTTTTTACTTTTAAAGGGGAGGCTCTTATTTTTTTGTCAATTTATCAAAGTCAGAAATTGTCAAAATTTGAAAATTTTCCTATGAATTTTAAAGAATTGGAAAATTTTTGCAAACTTCTCGCTTTGACAAATTGAGAAAAAATTTAAAGACCCGCCTTTCATTTGAAGAATAATTTTGATCATCTCGTTTATGACTAATATAACACGTATCCAAAATGACTGCTTGAATACGATTCAAAACAATTGAAACTTAATTTTTTTTTTTTATATTCCGGCCCTTTCTGCCCTCTGATTGGCTAATCGGCCCTATCCAACCATATGCATGCGGCTGTGGATTCTACACTGCACCGCATTCGCACTCCTATAGAGCATAGGAATAGCATGGGAAACCACAGAAAACCCATGCCGGTACAGGCGGTCACTATATTAGCGACCTCCCGCTCGCCGGAGCCTCCGGTTGAAAAACTCGGTTCCACGGGGAATCGAACTCACAACCTTTCGCACACTAGGCTCGCACCTAGCCGCTTCCCCATTGAAATTTTTTTCCCCATGGAAATATTGTAATCATTCAAATGTAAGTTTTGAATTTTTCATGTCGTATCGACCCATTAATAATTTGAGAGATAATTTGAAAGTGAATTTTTGTGGTTCCCGGTAGCTTAGTCGGTAAGAGTGCCCGGCGCGTATCTGGGAGACCCGGGTTCGATTCCCGGCTGGGTGAAGCGGAAAAGTTTTCTCTCTAAATTCTAATTCTCTTAGACTTTATTTATTTTTTTTACTCCATAGTTAAAAAAGTTAAAAAATGGAATTGTTATATCTTGTCCATCCGTACGTATAGATGTGCGTATGTATATGGAAAAGTTTTCATTTAATTCTTCCCTAATAAACCATTGCAATTAAATCATACCTTTTTCCCAAATGTAAGTATTGTTGTGCCATATCCATTCGCATTAATTAAAATCATTCATTCATTAATCAGGCATTAATTAATTTTGTTAGTTTTGATAATATTTTGAATAGGTTGTTTCAAGATAATTGAAAAAAAGAAAATCATTGAAGGATGGTTTTAATTTTCATTCCACTGTTCTTTTGTTCAATAATCGTGGCTTTGATGTATTTTAAAATTTGTAAACACTTCGTATCGTTAGAAAATCCCAATTCCGAATAATGAATTCCGAATTTGAAGCATGATATCTTCGAATATCATGGTTCAAATCAATACAATTATATTTTATGCTTATATGGCTATATGCTGTAATGGGAGAAAATAGGAGCATGGGGATAGGCGTTTCACGGGAGGGAAATCTGACTTTGCACATACGCCGGAACGGAAAATGATGTTCTAACCACGGGATGTAAAATAAAGGATCCCTACCCACGTGCTTATCAACCTCGCCTTCCGCTCGGCTGATAATTCTGTACATGGACAGGGATCCTTTATTTTACCTCCCTAGGTTAGAAAAAACTATTATTTCTTATTTAAGTATATTGATAGTGTCCGTTAAAAAAAATAAGATAATGACTAACTGCTAATAACAAGAAAGTGATTGTTCATTTAATTTAAAGAATTGTTCTATAAATCGATAATTGATACAATTAATCTGCTACTCTCTTTATGAAGAAATAATCAACATTTTCCAGCTTGTGCAGAGGGACATAAAAGTGCACCCTGATTATCAATAAGTAAGTAAAATGTTGAAAATTATAGATAACAAAAAAAACGGAAAGTTACATGAAAAGAGTCATCCCACAATTTTTAAACCTGAATTTTTTAGTGGCATATGCTTTGTTAGTTACCGCCGAAACATAGAAACAGTCATGTGATGCCACCATTTTATTCCTATGTTTTCTGAGGGATAATTGATGATTTTAATTATTTGCAGTATGTACACACTGGTTACCGGGTTTCTGCAGTCTCTTGGCGGGCATTGAATTCCGGCCAGTATAATAACCGCCCGATATTCGATAATGTAACGAACATGTGNCTCGTGAGTTCGGTAGTTCGGCGTTGGCCCTTGACCTCACCGGAACTAGTGCCAGTACAGTGCCTATCCTAGGATCATAGTGCCCACTTTTGGATTATTGGATTTACACGATGGCGAAGAACACCCCAAAGAGGGGTAAGAAACCCAAAGTGAGTTTTTAGTTCGGTTTATTTATTTTTCCGAATTCATTTCGGCTTTTAGTTATTCGACTACGGGGTCTTCAGCCTCGTACGTCGCATTTTATTCCGTCAAAACGGGCATTGTGACGCTTAATCCAAATTGTGAGATGCCGANGTTAGGAACACTAAAAACGATCTGGAAACAGCG